TTATATTTATTCTCTGATATTAGATTTTTGTTTTGTTATTAAAGCTTAATTTCAAATGAATTAAGCTTTTTATACACATAAACAAGGCTAATAATGATTTTTTTTTTTCCTGAATGCAGCAAATTTGTCATTGAGATCTTAAGCTTGAAAACACTCTCTTAGATGGCAGTTCAGAATCGCGTCTCAAAATCTGCGACTTTAGCTACTCTAAGGCAGGGAAACTCCTCTGAATCTATAACTTTGTTTATAATCAATTACTAATCATGACTAATCTTTGTTAATTATAATAGTCTGCAGTGCTACATTCTCAACCAAAATCGACGGTAAGAACACCGGCCTATATTGCCCCAGAAGTCCTTTCCCGAAAGGAATATGATGGAAAGGTAGTGTAACAACTAGTGAATAGTGATAGAGCGCTCTAGAAAAGCTCAGTAAGGTCAGGAGATTAAACAAAATTCAGCAAGTTAGGTAGACGTCATGACATAAAGGTGCAATTACACATCATGGAGGACCTTACAAAAGACTCGGAACCATCGACTTTACTGGTTAGATAATATAACACATTCAACACTCCCAAATGAGCAAAAACAATTAAAAAAAAAAGTAAATAATTAGTTGGTAATTTTATACAAATGAGCAAAATCATAGATACTCATTTGTCAAATGAGCAAAAACATAGATGCTCATTTGTCAAATGAGCAATCAAACATAGATGCTCTTTAAGTGACAAGCAAAATTTTTGAGCAATGTATCTTGTCTGCAATAGTATTGTTGCTATTAAGGTTGTGCTATTGAAAATAAGTGTTTGACAGTTTGGGCATATGACGACTAGAATTATTTTCCAAATTTTACTCTCGCCTGGGTTTTAACATACTCATACATGAAATCCTAACAGCTTAACATTCTAGGGTTCAGCAGACAAGATCATATTTGGATGGCTTTTTGAATAATTTGACTCAAGCTGTTAAATGTTTTGTGCAGGTGAATGTCACAGCTGATCACAGAATCATCTACGGGGCTGACTTAGCTGCCTTCCTCCAGACCTTTTCAAATATCATCCAAAACCCAGACAGTTTAACAATGTAGATCACAAAAAGAACGAAAGATAACATTACCTAATTTCCAGCCTTGAGTTAATGTTGGACAAGAAGCAGAGGAGCTATTACTTTTATACAAAACTAGAGGATTGTCAGAACAATATGGGCTACATCAGAATGCAGTTACACCTTCAGGATTAGCGCTTTGCTGCTATGTTTCTATTAGAAATAAATAGATTTTTTTGGTTTTGATAGCATCTTACTGTACTATCACCATTTATTTATCAATTTTACAAATTGTTGTTTCCGATACTAGACAAACAACATTTACAAATTTTTGAGAAATTACATAAAACGAAAATCAATCAAAAATCGCAACAAAATTAATCAAAAATCAGAACAAAGTAAACGAAAATTAACCTAAAATCAGAGATGAGCTAAAATTAAACGAAAAGCAAAACGAAAATCAATCAAAAATCGCAACAAAATCAAGCAAAAATCGCAACAAAACAACATAATATCGCAAATACAAAACCAAAACAAGAACACTTAGTAAAACCAAAATTCAGGCAAAATAAAATTAAAATTTACTGGATAATCACTCAAGAAAACGAAAATAAAGCTAAAATCAACAAAAAATAACAAAATAAAACATAATCGACACATTGCATGTTAAATTAATGAGCTAAAATCAGAAAAAATTAAACGAACATCAAAACGAAAATAAAACAATGAATGTAACCTAAAATTAATCGAAAAACAGCAAATGTATAAACAATAGACTCACATTAAAGAAAATTGATGAAGATTGAAGAAGTTGTGATGAAAAATCAGAGAGCAGCAGAGTAGAACACCGTAGAATTGAAGGAGGAGAGAGAACAATGAGCGAAAAAGAAAAAGGAGGAGAGAGAAAAAAACGTAGGAAATAAATTTGTTTTGTTTTGTTTGTTTTACCGGGTTGTATTATGACCCTTGGATGTAGTAGATCCAACGGTTGTAATATGTCCTCACATAAAATAGGGTTCTCACATAAGGGGGGTGGTCTCATATGATCCCATTTCTATATATATATATATATATATAGAAATGGGATAATGTGAGAACCCATGGCTTAGGTGAGAACCATTTTAAAATGAGAACTCATCTAACACCATTCATTTTTATTAGATGAATGGTTCAGATTTATTGTTTCATTAGTGGGAATTCACGTGGGCCACCTTCATTAATTATAATGATTGTTTGTATTTTTTTTTTAAATTTTTGTGCATTGGGACACAAAATCTGCCAAAAGCTGTCATTATTACATGCTTTTTATTATTTATTGCATTGAAACACGTTACGTTAAAATGTAGTTGAAGTGTACGTCGTTAATGATGTTTCGTAAAATATATCAAGTGTTTCAATTTATAATATTAATGTTTCATATATATTATTGTTTGTTTTCATACAGTTGGGCTCTATATGAACTAGGTGTACTGTGATTTCTTATACCTTATCTGATGTTTCAAAAAATATACCTTATGTTTCATTTTATAGTGCTTATGTTCCATAAAATATATGTGTTGTTTCATATACTAATGATATTGTTTTATACATAAAAATCATTGATGTTTCATATAATATTTCATTCGAATATTATTTATATTGTTACAGAAATAAGAATTATTGTCCCATAAATATTATACATTGTTCCATACCATATGTGTGAAATGTACCAATGACTGAAATGCATGTTCCCAAGAAAATTAAAAAGCATGTACCAATGATTGAAATGCGTGTTCCCAAGAAAATGCATGGGAAAGTGATAATTAATCTCAGCCATCCATTAAGTGTAGTTGGTGTACGTTAATGATGTTTCGTAAAATATATCAAGTGTTTCAATTTATAATATTAATGTTTCATATATATTATTGCTTGTTTTATATAGTTGGGCTCTATATGAACTAGGTTTACTGTGATTTCTTATACCTTATTGATGTTTCAAAAAACATACCTTATGTTTCATTTTATACTATTTATGTTCCATAAAATATATGTATTGTTTCATATACTAATGATATTGTTTTATACATAAAAATCATTGGTGTTTCATATAATATTTCATTCGAATATTATTTATATTGTTCCAGAAATAAGAACTATTGTCCCATAAATATTATACATTGTTCCATACCATATGTGTGAAATATACCAATGACTAAAATGCGTGTTCCCAAGAAAATTAAAAAGCATGTACCAATGACTAAAATGCGTGTTCCCAAGAAAATGCATGGGAAAGCGATAATTAATCTCAGCCATCCATTATGTGTAGTTGGTGTACGTTAATGATATTTCGTAAAATATATCAAGTGTTTCAATTTATAATATTAATGTTTCATATATATTATTGCTTGTTTTATATAGTTGGGCTCTATATGAACTAGGTTTACTGTGATTTCTTATACCTTATTGATGTTTCAAAAAACATACCTTATGTTTCATTTTATACTACTAAGGTTCCATAAAATGTATGTATTGTTTCATATACTAATGATATTGTTTTATACATAAAAATCATTGATGTTTCATATAATATTTCATTCGAATATTATTTATTTTGTTCCAGAAATATGAACTATTGTCCTATAAATATTATATATTGTTTCATTTATAAGAACTAGTGTTCCAATTACATGATATGCTCATAGTTCCAATTACATGATATGTCTCACCATATTAATTCTTATGTATGAACAATGTATAATATTTATGGGACAATTGTTCATATTTCTGGAACAATATAAATAATATTCGAATGAAATATTATATAAAACATCAATGATTTTTATGTATAAAACAATATCATTAGTATATGAAACAATACATATATTTTATGGAACATAAGTAGTATAAAATGAAACATAAGGTATGTTTTTTGAAACATCAATAAGGTATAATAAATCACAGTAAACCTAGTTCATATAGAGCCCAACTATATGAAACAAGCAATAATATATATGAAACATTAATATTATAAATTGAAACACTTAATATATTTTATGAAACATCATTAACGTACACTTCAACTACATTTTAACATAACGTTGACAACACAATTCAATGTAACATTACATTTTTTAATTGAAACAACGACAAGTTTTTTTGAAACAATAATAACATCTTTTGAAACATGTCAAAATTATTCCTTTAATACAATAAAATAAGTAATTAATACTGTTCCAATTGGATGATATTCCACATACAAATTTGCTCTTTTTTTGCACTGCTTCGAAAATTCTACCAAAATAAATCAAACGAACTCCAAAAATTCTGAAATTTTGTATGCTTATTCTACACAAAAAAAATAAGCAGATTCAAAAAAAAGAATCGCTTCAAAAGGGTTTTTTATGAGAGAGAAATCTTCATTTGAAATCTGTCTTTCCAGATTTGCTCCTTCTTTGCACTACTTCGAAAATTCTACCAAAAAAATATCAAACGAACTCCAAAAATTATGAAATTTTGTATGCTTATTCTACACAGAAAAATAATCAAATTAAAAAAAAACGCTTCAAAAGCTTTTTTTATGAGAGAGAAATCTTCATTTGAAATCTGCCTTCATTTCTCTCTCTTCAATGGCTAAATTAAAATGAAACCAACTTTTCCATTTTCTCTCTCTTCAATGGCTGAATCTCTTGGTTTTATAGTACATAAATCGTTGTTTCAATGCAGAAAATTAGGAAAAATAAATAAAAAAAACATGTACCAATGACTGAAATGCGTGTTCCCAAGAAAATGCATGGAAAAGTGATAATTAATCTCAGCCATCCATAATCTCATAATTGATGGTGTAAGATTGGTTCTTATTTTAAGAGGGTTCTCATATAAGCCTTGGTTCTCACATGATCCCTCCCCTATATATATATCCTCTCTCGCATACTTTCTCTTTCATGAACCCATCTTACTTTTACAATGATAATTTATTTACCCACCCACATACTACATTACTCACGAAGGGAGTATTATTTAGAAGGATGTAGAAAATAAAATAGAGAAAAAACGAAGCTAGATGACTCCATGGCTTACATAATAAGAGGAGCTGCAACTCCAACTCCCATCTTCCTCCCTTCTCTGAAATCCACCCCCAAAAATTATAACTGTCATAACTACTTTCTACTCACAAATTACGCGCCAAAATTTTCACATCATCAATCCAAACCCTATAATCTTTCTTCATCGTTGTCATCTAGACTCAACTGTGGAGTTAGTGACCAATTCTGGTATGATAATGATTCTCCCACCACCACTGCTGCTGCTTACGACATCCTCGGCGTCGAACCCCACTGCTCTGCTGCCCAACTCAAGGCTGCTTTCAGAGCTAAAGTGAGTGATTTCGTTACTTCTGTCTTTTAATTGAAATGATATAATGTTTTGATTGATTAATTATTTAAATTTGAAATGTTTTTCTTTTAAGCTTTTTTGTTGGTTACAAATTGTTTGAATAATTTATAATGGTTTTTAGGGTCGGATTTATAAGCGACAGAAATTGATCTTATCTGTTGAATTGTAAGTTCTTGCTTGTCAAAATTTGTTGGGGTTTGGTAGAAAGGGTTTAGTGAGGGTATATATTGAGAATTGAGGGGTTCAGTTTGAGTACATGGATGTGGGTTTCGGCGGGGTCTTGTGAGTATTTAGATTTTAAGGTGGTTAAGAAGGCTGGCCAGCTGGGAGGGTGGCTTGACTTGGGATTGGGAGCGGAGTGGCTACGCGAGGGAGGAGGGGAGACTAGATAGAGATTGGAAAAGAAATAGCCAATTAGAGATTGAAGCTTTGGGGGTGTTTGGTTCGCAATTTTTTGGTATGGGGTATGGGTTTGGTCGTTTGGAATGAGTACAACCCATATACAGTGTTTGTTTAAGAAAATTTCAAGATACCTCAAATGCACTAAGTATGGGAGGTGGGTATGACTCATACCAAACTTTCAGGGAGGGAGTGTTTGTTTCGCTAAGTGATATTGATTTGGAATTAGAATTGAAACCAAAGTGTTATAGGACTGGAACTTGATTCTTAATGCCATGTTTTTGGGTTTGTTTGGAAATTGACATTTTGGATGTATGGTATGAGTCATAGTCATACCATACATAAAGTAGGTGTGACAGACATTACAGACAAATTAAGGGAAAATCGTTTGCGTTGGTTTGGGCATGTAAGAGGGTGCACCGTAGCGAAGATTGGAAGAGTGGGACCATGGAGGGGTTAGATGAGGGAGAGGGAGACCGAAAATGACTTGGTTGGAAGGAGTTAGGAACTTAGGAAGGATATGAAGTATATGGATTTGCAGAGGATGAGGCATTGGATCGTAAGGGATAAAGGACGAAGATTTTTTTCGATGACTACACGGAATAATCAAATTTGATTCATGTAGCCGACCCCATTTATGGGATTAAGGGTTTGATTGATTGATTGGTATGAATCATAGTGTCATACCCACCTTTCCCTTGGATTTTGAAACCCCATACTTTGATGGTTTGAGGTACGAGTTTAGAAATTGAAATTTTCATAAACATACAAGAGGTATGGGTTTCATTCATTCTAAAAACATACTTCATTCTAAGAGTATGCAAACCAATAACCCCCTAGAAGGAATCAAATAAAAGATAAAATTCATTTCCAAACTACAACCAAATAAGAAGTATTAAGAATCAAGTTTCAACCCCAACTCACTTTGGTTTCATTTTTTATTGCAAACCCATGCCACTCTATAAACCAAAGCTTCTTTCCCCATTTACGCTCCTAAATCAGTTTCTTTAGGTCGCTGAAAGGGAAGTTGGAGTTATTATAAGCAAGTCAGATATAGTTGGAATTATTCTTGCCAATATTAAAGGAAAATTGACATGAATAATCCTAAGTGTCACCCATTAAATTGAGAATGTTTTGGAATTGATTATACCAACGTAAAATAATTGTATTATAGTGGGCTATTTGGATATTCGAAAACCATGTAAACAGCAGCATGAGCTCAAAGATCAAATGAGTAAAGTAAGCCATGTCAATACAATACTTTCTGTAATAATTCTCTTCTTTTCTTTTCTATAATAAGTCATAGTAATACCTTTAATGAATAATTTGAGGCTCAATTTATATTTGGAACAGGTGAAGGAATTTCACCCTGATGTGAGGAGCAATCAACACAATTCCGATTTGATGATTTGCCGTGTGATTCAAGCATATGAGGTAATCCAACTTATAATTTTTTAGTGAGCTTTTATTGTGTTCAAACAAGAGAGAATACTAGAAAAATTAGTGTTAAATTTGTAATTAAGTTTGCTTCCTTTTTGTTCTCCTTGTGAACTACTACCTTTGTTTGTGAAGGTCTTTAATTATTTACGCTTTTCTATTTTAGTTTCCTAAGAGCTCTTAAATCTTTTGCTTTATTTTATTTGTGACAAACCCCAATTACTACCTTAATCCACTTACCCCACAATATCTACACATTTACACTCTCTTTTTCTTAATAGTCCCACCCCTTTCTTACACCCACTCACCACTCTCTCTCTCCATTTAGCTTAATTTGTATGCAAACAGTAGTAACTATCAAGAACTTTTGGGAACAGAAGAAAAAATAGTTTTGCATCAGGCATGTACGAGAATATTTTAAAGGTTGCATATCTATGGTTTTTGGAGTCAACTTGCTGCACTAATGTTTATATATATGATTCAATCTAATTCTGAATCTTTTCTTGCTTGTTCGGGTGCTATTTAACTGCTGACAGTTAAAACTTTATAACGATGCAGATTCTCTCAAATATCAGCAGGTCAGAGATAATTGAAAGGTAGAATCTTCTTGTATATTCTTATATATGGATATAGCATTATAGCATATTGGTCTCTACCGTTGTGTTGTTGCATTTAAATTTTCCCATCGCCTACAAAATGCGTAGGTTTTCATTTGTCTTTATTGTGTTTATATGGATATAGATGTTTTCTGATTTTGCAGTCTCCAAATTGTGAAATGTTAGAATTATATTGAGCAGTGTTTGGACTTTATTGTTTTTAATACTTGTTAATTTATACAGACTAAGACTAAAATTGTAAAGTTAAGCTAGTAAAGGTTGTGGATTAGATGCAAATCAGTTTTTTGGGGTTTGACTAAGGCAAGGAGCAGTAGTTGTGGGCACACTGGTACAGCACTTTTATGGCAATCATGTGTTGTGTGTGACTGGATTTGGATTTGAAGGTCTTTTCATAAGTTATTTTGTCTTCTCGGTTGTTGTGGGACAAAGTTACTTATAGCTATGTTTTGGGCTAGGTAGCTGGGGTTTTAAAGTGTTACTCGGTTGGAGAGGTTCAAAGAAACTGGGTTAATTATAATGCTGGTTTCTGTTTAGCAGACACTTTGTGCTCTTGGTTTTGTCCTCTTTCTCTTTTCTTCTCCCAAAAAAATTGAAAATTAAAAAGAAAAACTTTTATGCTTTGGTAACTTTTTGCTCTCTTCCTTACTATAAAATTAAAATGGCCTGCATATTGGATTTTGATGCTATCAAGTATATCCTTTTATTTTTTTTGTGAGCTTTATATTACCAACTTGTTACTTATTTTCCCTTCTAAATGAATTATGTGTTGTCTGCTGGTGTATGGATGACTCTTGCAAATGCAATGATATCCTGTGAAGGTCAACGATGCTTAAAAGATTAGAAATAGGAAATTGTGAGGAACGATGTTATAACTCGAAGTAGTTTACCTGATTCCTAGGATGCAAATGTAGATCAAGCAAAGCTAATTCAGGAAATAATCCAGTAATAAAAGTAGTGAAATCTCGAGGTTTAACTTAATTAAGTAAACTTAATAGGATAATTTGGAGCATTAATGAGCTTTGTAATTCATTCATATGCCTGCAGTCACACCTTTTATTGGCTTATATAGCCTTAAAATGGACTGAACTGGCAATTACATTAATTGTAAATAAACATCAGCATACTGTCTGAGTCCTCGATCTGAAAAAATTGAGGGTTTATTGGCTTATCCTGTTTAAAAAGAATCCTGGGATTTGTTTTCAGTGCTAAAAGTTTTGTGGGAGTTCTTATATCTTGTATAATCTTTGACAGATTTCTCATCATTTGGTAGTTAATTATTCCTATAAGTTAAGCTATTTATAGTGCATACTTTTGCAGAAATTTTAATTTTTATATCATATTTATGAAAATTTCGTTTTTTATTTTTTTATTTTTTTTATTATTATTATTCTATGAGCCTTGTATTTTGCTTGATTATTTGCTTCCTAAAAGATTGTACTGCATGCTTATTTTGCACTCGTGTTTGCAGTGAATGTTTAGATCCTTTTGACAATCCAGAATGTGAAGCATTCGATATTTTTGTCAATGAAGCTGTGTGTGCTGGCAAAGGTACTAAAATCTTTTATATCCTCCTTCTAAACTCCTTTATGAAGTAGAGTTCAACATGATTAATTATTGGTGGAACAAAATTCAGAACCTGTTTAATTAATATCTTAGGCATCATTGGTAGTTTAAATACTCATAGAATTAGGGCGCCTCAAGAATCAGGAATCGATGCATAACTTTCAATTGTATATATTTTCAATTATGTATGTATTTGTATAAAACTATACATATTAGATTTTCATAAAGAAGACATTGAGACGAATCTAATAAGGTCACATTTGACTATATTTTTCAAGTATAAATCAAAAAACGCAATTTAAGTTGAGTATGTAAATACATAAACGAAGGGGAATTGAATCAAAACAAAGGTAAAGATGTAGCATAATTGCCACTCATCAAATCTCCGGTGCAACTTCTGATGTTTCCCCTCCCACCCAAAATTGACCTAGGGAATCAAATCAGAACTTAAGACCCTCCACAGGTGGAAACCTTCAGGCAGCTAGCTGTGAAATGAATTATTTAAAAATTGACTTTCACTTGTCTGAACAAGTTGAAGTATTTGCAGGATGCCCATATTCATGTGTCAAACAGGCCCCTCACGCTTTTTCCTTTTCTTCACTGGGAACTGCCCGCGCAACTTATCAAGGTTTGTGAATCAGCTCATTGCCTCTTATTATCAGAAAAATTATACAGAGGATCAGTAGACAAATCAGGAGTATTAGCTGGATATTTGAGTTCTTGATCTGAAAGTATTGGACAGGTACAGGATATGCTGAGGATTACAGAGTCCAGATAGCTGTGGGTCAGTGCCCCAGAAATTGCATTCACTATGTTACACCTTCACAGAGAATCATACTGGAGGAGCTTCTTGATTGGTAATCCACATTTGATGTTCGTATGTTTGTTTCTTGCTTTATTCCATTCTCCTTGCTCATGTTATGACACACAAAAACATATTTCAAAGTGCAACAGATTTCTCATTGAAGCTTATCCACTAAATATTTTTGCAATATACTACACTTGCAAGAACTAATAACACAAGAATTAAGGAAGAGAATTGTTTGATTGATTGTAATAAAAGTAGCCAAAAGGTTAACAAGTCACAAATAATGGCTTTAGGCCATAACACTCCAAGTTTTTCCTGTTCAATTATCTGAATAATTCTCTATTACTACTCCACTGCTATTTATATTACTCTACTACCAACATGATGTGGCGTCAAGCCTTAATTGTTACCATTACTAGTTTTTGTCTTCTTCCTAAGAGTACTCAAAAACTCAGCTAAAAGCCAAACTCTCTTCTGCAGCTTTAGTGCACCGTTCCTTGTGGTTGTTGTGGTGTATTAGTGCCATTGCCTTGTACCCCCCTGCCTCTGTCGCCTCCTGCTGTATGTCTGGACAATGGGTGGTGATGGTTGGTGCGTAGCAATTTTGGGTGAATTTTCATGAGATAACACCTTAGATTTTTTATTTTTTTTTTCATGAACTAAGGGTACCTTAGATTGATATTTCATGAGGTACCCTTAGTTCCAAAAACATGCAAAAGCTGAGGTTTGAACATATTCACCCGCTACCCTATAAAGTAATACACCACTCTTTTTTCCCCAAACCCCTCTCACCTATTACTTTGGGTTGAAAAAATTAAATTTGGAAGGTACATAAACTTCTTAATTTTGAGTGAGAGTTATTAGATCTAAGGGTGTTGACTAACCTTAGGGGTAGATAGTGCATTTTTAAAACTATGTACATCTTAAAATTTTGGAAATCACAAGGCTATATTATGAAAATAGTCACTTAGGATGTCTCGCACACTCTTTGTATGCACATCATTATGTGGAATCCACACTCATTAAACTTGATTAACTTAGAAACTCACTTTGTTGAAATGAACTATGTAGGCTCCTTTCATAGTTTCTGAAAGGGACGCAATGAGCCAATGTCATGAACTGTGATAGGCTTCTCTCCAAATTTACTTCTCCAATTTTACTAATGAGAGCCGTGTCTTCATCCTTAATCTGGAGTTAAACATGTGGTTATTTAACTTTTCTTGGCTGGTGAAGATGTTTTCTTTGTCTGCTGAGCTTGAGTGCTAAGGGCCTACGGTTCCTAATTGCAGGCAATGATACCAAATGTAAAATATAATTTACCCAATCGGTATAGTAGACAAATTAAAAATTTATTTTTCATACAATTTTATTACAAAGAGGACAAAATTTTAAGTATACGAAACACCTACTAATTGTTTTGAGACTCACAATATTGTGGAACTCGCATTTAGTTAGCGTGATTGTTTAACACACAAGTCTGCAATGGAACGGGCCGAAGCACACCAACAACCAATCAAGGTCTACGAGAGGAGACACAAACAAAAGGGCAAGAAACAAAGTCAGGAGCTGCAGTAAGTGTATCAGGAAGAAGACAAGGAATTTTAATGTTCCACTAAGGATTGTGGCAAAGGGTATTCTGTTCAGTACATGACAAAGAAGTTTAATGTGATAGTACTTTTGTGAGGGAGAGCTTGATATATAAGGGTGAGCAATGAAACAGTAGGTTCAGGTTATTGGAGAATTTTGTAGTAGAGTAGTAGTAGTTGTAGTATTCTTCAAGAGAAGTAGTAACTCCGTCGTTCCTTGTAGCCGTTACTTCCATTAGCAGTCAAAATCCTTCAAGCTTTCCTCTATTTGCTAGTTACTTGCTGAGCATTAGTATTCTGATTTTCCTAGTCTTTAGCCCTTTCTCTAGTCCGGTATTTCTTGTGAAGAAAAAAGACGGTTCGTGGAGGTTTTGTGTTGATTATAGGGCTTTGAACAAAGAAAACGTGCCAGACAAATTCCCAATTCCGGTTATAGATGAGTTGCTTGATGAGTTGCATGGAGCTAAGTGGTTTTCTAAGTTGGACTTGAAGTCCGGTTATCACCAAATAAGGGTGAAACCAGAAGTCCACAAAACGGCATTCCGTACTCACGAGGGACACTATGAGTTCCTTGTCATGCCCTTTGGGCTAACGAATGCCCCGGCTACCTTCCAATCCCTCATGAATGAGGTGTTTAAGTCGTACTTGAGGAAGTTCGTTTTGGTGTTTTTGACAATATTCTTGTGTATAGTAAGGAGGAGGGAGAACACAAGAAACATGTGAGGTTGGTGTTGGAGCAATTATCGAAGCATAAGTTGTATGCTAATTGGAAAAAGTGCGAATTTGGAAGGAGGGAAGTAGCATATTTGGGTCACGTGATATCGGAAGAAGGGGTGGCCATGGATATGGATAAAGTGAAGGCAATTGTGGAGTGGGAAGAGCCAAAGAATTTGAGAGAGTTGCGTGGGTTTCTTGGTTTAACAGGTTATTACCGGAAGTTTGTGGCTAGTTATGCTCAAATTGCCGGACCACTCACCTCTCAATTGAAGAAAAATAGTTTCGGGTGGACGAGCGAAGCGGCCAAAGCTTTTTCAGCCCTCAAAACCGCCATGACAACAGCCCCAGTGTTGAGAATGCCGGATTTTCAGCTAGAATTTATAGTAGAGACGGATGCTTCGGGCTTGGTGCCGTGTTGATGCAACAAGGAAGATCTATAGCTTACTATAGTAAGTTGCTTGGAGTGAAGAATCAAGCTAAGTCAATCTATGAAAAGGAATTGATGGCAGTTAGCTTGGCTGTGACAAAGTGGCGGCATTATTTGCTAGGGAGGCACTTTGTTATTAGGACCGACCAACAAAGCTTAAGGTTCCTAACCCAACAACGCGAAGTGGGCAGTGAGTACCAAAGGTGGATGAGAAGACTTGATGGGTATGGATTTCGAGATCCAATACAACCCCGGCCCATCCAATAGGGTGGCAGATGCGCTCTCTCGCAAGGGCAGTGTTACAGCACAATTTGGGGCCTTAATATCCACTCAGCTAGTGGATTGAGCCGAACTTGAGAAGGAACTTGCAAGTGATCCATGGTTGTGTGGGCTGCGGGATTCATTGAAGGCTGATTCTACTGGCCACCAGGGCCTCCACCTAGAGGGAGATCGGGTGATGTATAAAGGCAGAGTAGTTCTTCCTAAGGGCTCAAAATTTATTCCTACTCTTCTTAGGGAATACCATGACACACCAATAAGGGGCCACAAAGGGGAAGTGAAGACTTATTTAAGGTTAGCAGGGGATTGGTTTTGGTCAGGCATGAGAAAGAAGGTGGGAGAATATGTCCAGCAATGTATGGTCTGCCAACAGAGTAAGCCGTCTCAGCAAGCTTCCGCAGGTTTACTGCAGCCACTCCCAATTCCAGAGGTGGTTTGGGACGACATCTCTATGGATTTCATAGAGGGGCTGCCACTCTCTAAGGGGGTGAATTCAATCTTGGTCGTAGTGGATAGATTGTCGAAGTACAGTCACTTTTTGGGGTTGAAACACCCGTTTAATGCTCTGAAGGTGGCTGATATCTTTGTGCGAGAAGTGGTTCGGTTACATGGGTTTCCCTCATCCATAGTTCCTGACCGTGACAAGGTATTCATGAGCATATTTTGGATAGAGCTTTACCGATTACAAGGCACCCAACTCAAGAGGAGTACCGCATACCACCCCCAAATGGACGGCCAAACGGAGGTGGTTAACAAGTGTTTGGAGACTTACCTTTGGTGTTTTGTAGCTAGCCAACCGAAATCTTGGGCTCAATGGCTTCCATGGGCGGAGTATTCTTATAATACTTCACCTCACACCTCTACCAATATGACACCCTTCAAGGTCGTCTATGGTAGGGATCCTCCCAAAATCTGGAAAGTGAAGCAGGGCGCGACTGTAGTGAAGAGCTTGGAAGAAGGGTTGCAAGAAAGAGACTTTATTTTGGATGAACTGAAGATGATTATCAACCGGGCTCAGCAATTAATGAAGGCAAATGCTGATGGTCGGAGAAGGGATGTTGAGTTTGAGATAGGCGATTGGGTGTTCCATAAATTTCAGCCATACCGACGGCAGACAATTGCTAAACGGCCACATGGAAAGCTGGATGCACGTTTCTATGGACCATTTGAGGTTTTGCAGCGTGTTGGGAAGGTAGCATACCGCTTGAGGTTGCCGGAAGAGAGCAGGGTGCATCCTGTATTTCATGTCTCGCAACTGAAGAAGGCAGTTGGAAGTGCTCCTGTCAACCCCACCCTTCCCACTCAGCTCACTGCCGATTTGGAATTGGTGACAGAACCTGAGGCAGTCTTGGGAGTGAGAAAGAAAGAAGCAGGTGGCAAGATCAGCACTGAGGTGTTGCTGAAATGGCAGGAACTTCCTGATTTTGAAGCCACATGGGAGGATTTCGACACTATCAACCTCCGGTTTCCATCCTTCCACCTTGAGGACAAGGTGAATGTCCGGGAGGGGAGTAATGCAATGGAACGGGCCGAAGCACACCAACAACCAATCAAGGTCTACGAGAGGAGACGCAAACAAAAGGCAAGAAACAAAGTCAGGAGCTGCATCAGGAAGAAGACAAGGAATTTTAATGTTCCACTAAGGATTGTGGCAAAGGGTATTCTGTTCAGTACATGACAAAGAAGTTTAATGTGAGAGTACTTTTGTGAGGGAGAGCTTGATGTATAAGGATGAGCAATGAAACAGTAGAGGTTCAGGTTATTGGAGAATTTTGTAGTAGAGTAGTAGTAGTTGTAGTATTCCTCAAGAGAAGTAGTAACTCTGTCGTTCCTTGTAGCCGTTACTTCCATTATCAGTCAAAATCCTTCAAGCTTTCCTCTATTTGCTAGTTACTTGCTGTGCATTAGTATTCTGATTTTCCTAGTCTATTGCGAAGTCACTCCATTGAATTTCACTGCATGGGCTCTTATTGTAGTGGTTACAAGCAACACAAGAAGCCAATAGCAAGCTACTATTATCTTTGTGAAATGCAACTAATCTCTCTATACTTCCAGCATCGTATTTTCTACATGGAAAAATTGTTGCTTCTAACTTTGGAGTGCATCATCTAGAATGCGAGAGAAAGCAGGATAATCTGTTAACAGTATCATATGCCTGTTATGCACACCAAAGTTTTTTCTATTATAGTTATGCCTAATAGGCAACTTGATTTAATATTTTGGACATTGTGATGTATGACTCTGACATACGTACTCATCTTGTTTGTTTCGTTTTGTCAGTATTCTGAATGCTCCATACGATACCTCTGCCGAAGCTGACTTGCTTTATTCTCTCATCATAAAAGCTAAGTTTGAGAACAACAGATACCAAAAATTAAAGCAGCAGCCTAAAACGTCTACTGAGCATGTAGACTGGTTTTGAATGGGCTCTCAGAAGTAATGTCTAAATAGTGGCTGATAAATATGACATTTACAAGAATACTTTTTTTATGTATATACTATATACAGCTCTGAGGATTGGAGTACAAGCTCACTGATATTCTGGTCTATCCGGTTGTTAATGTACTGACGATGCCGAAGAGCAAATTGGTGGCAAGAATAGACGGAATGTAGCAGGCCATACGTCTCATATATTCATGTCTGTACAAAGGTCTTACTAAAGCATTGTGACCAGTGTAACCAATTTGTGTAAAATTTTTCATATATCAATGGCTGGTACTGGAGGTAAGCTATCACATTTTAAGAATATGTTCAGCTGAATGTTTTTCCTCTCTTTCAGCCTGTCATGTATACCTACATACATTGCTCATCTTGTGTGGCGATACATTTCAGTAAATTTTCTGTTTATTGAACTTTTTGAGGAGATTCAACAAATTTAGTGTTAATGAAAAATAGGTTTGCTGGGTGAGATTCAACAAATTCATATCACTTTGATTACTAGTATAACATAACATGCTCATCTGGTGTGGTAGTACATTTCAAAACAAAAAAATCAATTGTTTTGCCTTATTTTGCTAATTTTTCGTATAATCAATCAATCAATCAAAGCTTTAATCCTATAAGTGGGGTCGGCTAACATGAACCAAATTTGATTATTCCGTGTAGTCATCGACATAAATCTTCCTCCTCCATCCCTTACGATCCAATGCTTCATCGTCATGCAAATCCATACACTTCATATCCTTCCTAACTCCTTCCAACCAAGTCATTTTCGGTCTCCCTCTCCCTCGTTTAACCCCTCCATGGTCCCACTCTTCCACTCTTCGCACCGGTGCACCTTCGGGTCTCCGTCTTACATGCCCAAACCAATGCAGACGATTTTCCCTTAGTTTATTTGCAATGTCTGCCACACCTACTTTCTTGCGAATAACCTCATTCCTGATTCTATCTCTAAGAGTGTTCCCATACATCCACCTTAACATGCGCATTTCCGTAACCTCCATCTTTTTAATGTGCTTCTTCTTAGAAGCCCACCATTCTGTACCATAGTGCAACACTGGTCTTATGGCAGTTGATTAGGGGATTTTTCCCTACCAATCATCGTCTGACAAGTGGACCATTCAGGCTGGCTCTGCCAAGTGTCCGCCACATGGGCCAATAGAAGCCTGCCACGTGTCAGGCGTTGATCCGTCCACCATGGACCAGTTGTGTCACGCCATGTGGCCTCCGTATGCCAAACAGCCCACCTAGGCCCAATTTCCAAGGGAAGCCCAGTCAGCCCTAGGTTAACCTAAACCTAGTATTTGACACGTTTCCCAACGTTACAAATACTCTAATTAATCCTCATTAAAGGGGATTAAGCAAATTAATTACTCTCACCTAGAGAACCTAAACACACTGATCACTCCTCCCCTAGAATAACTAAATCTCCCAACCTTTACTTTTTCCGCACTTATTACTCCTCAAACAAGTACTAACTTGACCGTCGGAGGCGGAACTCCCACCACAAGGAGTTTCCGTTGTTTTGCTGGTACAGGCGCATGGATCCAGTCCCGGAATTGTAACTCTCCCGCAGGTCATCAAGAAACCCCAAAAAATTTTGGCGCCGTCTGTGGGGAGAGTACTTTCGAGATGGCATCACAGTCTGTACCGACTCAGAGCGAGAGGCGTCCTATGGACAACCCTCGGGTCTATAGCGACCATGATACTAAAAATGAGGTCGAGGTTGAGACTCATACGGCCCCAGACGGGACCTTACGAGCTCGACGAACCCGTTCCTCTGAAAAGAAGGAACGAAAAGATTGTCAGGTTGGATCTAGTAAACCTGCCGGCAAGCCGCTTGATCATCAACAGGCGGCCGAGGAATTTGCTTCCATCACTAGAAGTGAACTCATGACTTTCATGAATAGCTTCAAAGGGGAGATTCAGGATCTCATCAATAAGAAGACGCCTGCTCTCTCCAAGGAGGAGTCGGCTAGAAAACCTTCTCAGTCTGGAAGAAGGAAGCCTGTACAAGGTTGAGAGGCGACTCCTCACCCTAATTCTAGGAAGTGGGAGCCGCCAGTGATCGACTTAACGAAGTATCGTTTTCCCTCACCGGGGAAGAGAAAGCCCATTCGTCATGTTCAAGCGGATGGGTCAAAGAAAACTTACTCAGATGCTCGACTGTTGCTAGAGCAGAAGAAGAATGACCGATTGTCAGAGTCGGCCTCTACGTCCGATTTTCAAGACAGTCTTCATAATACCTCCATGAGGTATTCCCAATCAAACTATGAGAGTCAGACAGGCGGCACCTCCTGTCGGTCCGGATCTCATAAAGATCAGTCGGTACCAAATGTACCATTTGTACCGCAACATACAACAATACTTCTTGCAGCCTCCTTTGTTTGGAGGGCAGGTGGCAAGAAATGTCCAACCATTGGACTGGCAACTACGGTTGCTCAGACTTGGAGAACAGTCGTCCGCCTTCTCCAAGGAAATTATTGAGGCCGCTTAGCCGGCCAAAGTGAAGAATGTGTTAGTAGGCGCCTATGATGGCACTACTTACCCAAAAGATCATCTAATGGTGTTCACCAACCTAATGTACCTCCAAGGGTTGGATGATCCCACTTGGTGCAAGTGCTTCCCAGCCACTCTCAAGGGAATTGCACAGCAATGGTTCGGCAACCTGCCGACTGGTTGTGTGAATAATTTCAAGAAACTTGCCTACTTTTTCACCTCCAATTTTGCTATGAGCATTCCTGCTAAAAAGACGACCCTTGACCTAGGGACCATTCAGCAGGGTGAGAAGGAGGGACTCCGTTCTTACATCAGGCGGTTTAACCTTATGAGGGTTCAAATACAAGGGCTGCCGGATGAGGTAGCCTACACTGATTTTTTCAGAGGTCTTAAGGATGGGTCGACCTTCAAGTTCGACTTGGTCCGAAAAAGGGTTGCGACTTTCCAAGAAGCATTGATTGAAGCTGAAGCCTATATACAGGCGACTGATCTCTGTAACACTGGAAAACAGTCGGATGGAAGGAGGTCTGACAAAAAAGAAAGCCGATCAAAGCAGTCGGCAAATAAAGATGAGAAAAAGCAAAAAGAAGTCTGGGCGGCCGACTCCTCTGCACAGCCGGCCCAGAAAAAGAAGAAAGAGTTCAAACCATACTCTCCCAAGTATGCGTTCAACAAGGATAGCCAAGCTATCCTCAAAGAAATCAAGAGTCGGATCTCAATAGAGAAGCCGGCCCCCATGAAGGGTTCCGCAAGCAATCGGAACCAAGATAAATTCTGTCATTTTCATGAGGATATTGGTCATGAAACCAATGAATGTATAAGCCTCATGCGCTACCTGGACCACCTGGCTGAAAAAGGCGACCTAGACTCCTATGTCAAGAAGTCCAAGGGAAATGCTCCCCCCCCAAGCACAAGTAGCGGCCAAGAAGGATCATCGGCAGGCCGACAGTTCAGATACTGACGATGCCGTCGTTTACACTATAGTAGGCGGCTTCTCAGGAGGCGGCCCCACTATCAGGGGCAACAAAGACAATATCAGGCGGTTAGATGTTAATTCCGTTCACCAAGGACGGACCGCCAAGAGTTCATTCCCAGAAATTGTCATCACAGAAGAAGATCTGGGAGGAGTTAAGGGGCCGCATGATGACCCCATCGTCATTGAATGTAAGGTGGACAACCAAAGGGTTGGCCGGATCCTCATAGATAACGGCAGTTCCTCTGACCTCATTAGCAACAAGTGATTGGCAAAGCTTAAGTACAAAACTGACTGCATACATCCGGTATCTCACCCTTTAGTAGGGTTTGGAGGAAGTGTTGTACACCCAGTTGGACGAGTGGATCTACCTATCCATATGGGTGAGAAAGGGGAGGGCCATCACATGGTGGTTCGGTTCTTAGTGGTTGAAGAGCTGTCGGCCTACAATATGATCTTGGGATGACCCACCCTGAACAACTCTAAAGCTGTCATTATTCTCTCTCTTATGCTGCTCAAATTTAAGAGGGATGATGGAACAGTTGGCTCCCTAAAGGGAGATCAAAAGATGGCACGAGAATGTTACCTCTCGGATATCAAACCCACTGTGGCGACTGCTGGCCCAAGTGGTGAAAGAATCGACCTTGAGCTCATCAAGGAGGAAGCGCCTGCCCAAGTAGCAGGCGGCAAGAAAAGAAAGGCTACTCAACTGGGGGCTGAGAGAAAATGAAAAAGATAGCAATCACTGGCAGAGGAGCGGTCGGACAAATTCTGCCCTCAGCCGGCTGGCGAACACACGGATGTTGTCCTGGACGACTCACGTCCTGACCGAACAGTCAAGGTAGGGACGACTGCTCTTAAAGTATTCGGTGAAGATTTTCACCAACTTTTGAAGGAATTCAAAGATATCTTGGCGCCAATGAGTTTTTTATTTGAGAAAAAAAGACTATGCCTTCACTTTTGCATTCGAAGTTCATGAAATGCCAGGCATCATTCCTAACCTGGCTGTACATAAATTGGCCGTGGATCCGAAAAAGAAGTCGGTCAGGCAAAAGAAGCGGAACCATGGTGAAGAAAGAAGCCAGGCGGCAGCCGCCGAGGTTAAAAAGTTGCTTGATGTAGGGTTCATTCGGCAATGTTATTTCCCAGACTGGGTTGCAAACGTTGTGTTAGTAAAGAAGCCGAATGGTACCTAGCGAATGTGTGTGGACTACACTGATTTGAACAAGGCGTGCCCCAAGGATAGCTATCCATTGCCTAAGATTGACAGCCTGGTCGACTCAACAGCCGGCCATGCTTTAATGAGCTTCATGGACGCCTACTCTGGCTTCCATCAAATTCCTTTGTGGAAGAAAGATCAGGAGAAGACGGCCTTCGTCACTGATCAGGGGTTGTATTGCTACACGGTCATGCCGTTTGGTTTGAAGAATGCCCCGGCCACCTTCCAAAGAATGATAAACACGGTCTTCTTTGACCAAATTGGGAGGAATGTCGAAGCATACATAGATGATATGATTGTAAAGTCCAAGCTTCAGACGGACCATCTGGCTGACCTCCGAGAAACATTCATCACACTCAGGCGGCACCATGTCATGCTCAATCCCAAGAAATGTGTGTTTGGTGTTGAGTCTGGGAAGTTCCTCGGATTTCTCATCAATCAGAGAGGTATAGTGGCGAACCCTGAGAAAGTACAGGCGATCATAGACATGCAGTCGCCTCGAACAGTCCGAGAGGTTCAGAAGTTAACAGGTTGTCTGGCGGACCAGGGAAGATTTCTCAGTCGGTCAGGCGACAAGTGCCTTTACTTTTTTCAGGCAATAAAGAAGAACGCAAGGTTTGAATGGGGGTCGGATGCTGAGGCGGCCTTCCAAAAACTGAAAGTTCATCTGCATTCTTTACCAAGGCTAGTCAGTCCCTTGCCCAAAGAAGTGCTCTACATGTATCTCGCAGTGTCTGACCATGCTCTAAGCGCCGTCCTTCTTGCCGAAAGAGACGGC